TTTTGTGCATCTAACCTGGGCTTGGGCGGATAGCGGTGAATGTAGTGATGAGGATATAGTGAAGTGAAAATGTGTCGAATAATGTCATAGAGAACGAATGTGTTGCATTTACAAAATTTCGACAATGTGTGCCATTCGGTGCCGCCCTCTTCGGTCAAAAAAGTAGTCTCCTGTTATAGTAAAATTAGCTTGAATAATTGATCGTCGATAATGTTCTACATCACACTCGATCTCTTCTGTTTATTACAGAATCCTTTGTCGTTTGTCGACAGTACAGTCCTCCCGAAGGCTACGTGCCCACTTTACACAAAGCAATGACACTGCCTCATTATGGTAAGCAAGCTTTGGAGTATTGAGTGGTTTTGATTGCTATTTCTGCACAGATGATGAACTGAACCAAGAAAATGGTCCGAACCGTATCCTGGTACCCTTCGTAGCTTGTGGAGATCTGTCTGGATTTGACAGCGATGGATTTTATCCCTTGAAAGGGCCAGACATTCCTGTTGGACCTTTAGGGACAGAGTGAGTTTTCCCCTTCGTTATTGTTTGAACTCCAAGCAGAGGTAAGCATTATTGCTGCTTTATTTTTATTGTTGCATTCTAGATACGTTTTCCGTGATGTCGTTCAGCCACCAACCGAACCAGCTTATAAGAAAGCGGTTGAACTGAAGAAGAAGAATCAGCTAGTCAAACCGACGAGCAGTATACGCAGCGTGAGTGAATGGTGTTTCGTATGGTGTATGCACTGTGCATCGCGCTAGCCTTACAAAGCGCGCGGTTTTTTTCAATAGAGAATTCACCGTTTTCGCGCTTTTTGACATGGGTTTTCGAATTCAGCGTCCCGAATAACCCTATTGAGCGAGTCTGCTGTAAATTGAGTTTTTGCCCGGACGCTACCTCTGGAGGTAGCGTCCACGAAGATTTTGAGTTATGAGTCGCACGTGGAAGTTGATTTTGGGGACCCAGCTATAAGTAGGGCAGACATGGTCCAAAACAAATATGTAAAACGCGTGCTTTGAAAACGAATGAGGTGTGGAACAGGTTGTAGATGTTTTATTTCAGTTTACACATGAGAAGTAATTCTGTTCGGCGTTGCTTCGATGAGAATATCAGGCAGTAGTGTATTCAACTAATCGATTTTGAACCGGCTGAGACGCACTAAATACATGTGCTTGATATCCGGCGTCTTGTAAACGCAGTGTCGACAAAGTGGACCCTTTTCAGATTCGTGATTTGGATAGCAGCTTATCCAATAGCTTCAGTCCCACTTTTCAATAATGCGCTATCTCAAAAGCGTGGTTCGACGTTCCACGTGTGCCGGCCCAACTTCGTTGGGGGAGCGAGCTCGTCGAACCTTGAATCACTTTTGCGGCTTTAGCGCGTGAATCAAAGACTGGGGCTGCGGCGACTTGGAGGGTCTTTTAAGTATATCACCATAATCACGAGGATCCATGCTAAGCAGCTGCCTTCAGACGACGGCATGTCGTTCATAGTCATGTCGCGCATGCGACTTCATATACCGAATGAAGTCATCTAGTGCATCGTTTCCCCAGTGGCTACCCAGGATTTTCATTTGGAGGGGCGACAATAAATTTTTTGGGTCTATGACCCCCGAATTTTATATTGTAAGTATGAACAAGTGCACATTTTTATGACTCAAGTCGATAAGTTGCAAAAATTTCGCGCCCCGTTCGGGGGGTCTTGGTACGCCACTGGTTTCCCGTCTCGGTTTTCATTTTTCACCATGTTTATGGCGCCTGCCTCAGTAAAGAATGTAGAAAAGGCCTATAACAATCTCCGTAAAATGTACCCTAGACACAGTAAGTGCTGAGATAGTGTTACCGTATTGGAGACTCATTCTTCTGTATGATGTTTCCGGTTGCTCTCTAGGCAAAGTATCTCCCTATTAAATGTGACACTAGCTCCCAACACCGTATGTAACTTTGGGCTTTATAGTGGTCTTGACATACTCATGCAAAACAATTAATGCGATTTCAGATCGTAAAAAGTTTTGAGAAAATCAATCCGTATACAAAGGATGAAAACGCTGGCAACATTGGTTACGACGATGATTTGGTGGAATCGCTAGCAGATTTCCTGCAAATCAATGATTCTTGAAGTTCTGTTGCATATATTGCCTCCAGTATTTTTGATTATCAGGGCAGCTTCACAATTCAACACTTTACCGGTTCCGGGCCACTCCCGTCATATGGCATTTTCTTTGCATCTCGAGATTCAACGTTGTAAGAAATTTCCTTATATGGCGTGGGTAATGTTACGCCCCCTTCTGGAACTTGGGGGTTACAGTCCCACAGAAGCTTCTAGAGGCTGATTTTTTTAAAGGGTAGGGGCGAAAAAATTGTTGACTGAAGATATGCATGGCCCTAGCCAGGCAGTTAGAGATTTTTTGGGGGTGCTTCCCAAAATTTTTGCGGGCCTGTAACCTCGAATTCATAAACAAAAAGGGGAGTGGCAGTAGCCTCGCTTTCGAAATTTTTTTTTCACTAAGCTGATCTGAATTTTCGAAATATCAAATCTCAAACTATTTAGTATGAACGAGTCATTTGCCCATTTTTATGACTCACTAGCTGGCAGATTCGGCTCCGTTCTCCCTGTCAATATTATTTTCGTATTAGCTGGCATACCCGGCTCCACCCGGTTCAATCAAAACACTATGATAAAGGTCCCATCCCTATCCCTGCAGAATCTTTCCCTGTGATACCCGGCTCCGCCCGGTCCAGTTAAAACACTTGGCATACCCGGCTCCGCCCGGTATAGTTAGAACACCACAACATACCCGGCTCCGCCCGGTCCAGTTGAAACACTACGTGATCCCATCCCTATCCCTGCAAAATCTTTCCCTGTGCCACTTTTCAATGCAAATTCCCTGTCCCCGCGTTTTCTCTGTGCCACTTCTCCATGCAAATTTACCCGGCTCCGCCCGGTCCAGTTAAACCACTACATAAAGCCCATCCCTATCCGTGCAGAATCTTTCCCTGTGCCACTTCTTTACCCGGCTTCGTCCGGTCCAGTTAAAGCACTACGTAAAGGTCCCTATCCCTGCAGAATCTTTCCCTGTGCCACTTCTCCAAGCAAATTCCCTCCCCGTTTTCTCTTTGAAATCAGCATGATCACTTACCCCCTGTACCAACTCTCGGCCCTCTATGTTGAAGTTTGCAAAAAAAAATCGATGAAATCGATAAAAGTAGTGGA